TTGGTCGACATCATCCTTCTTTTAACCGAAATAATTCCAGATAACTGACTTTCCTTTTCTTTTTGGCAACAAATCTTCATTTTCGGTGGTTTTCGCTTGTTCGTTGTTCATTTTGCGATCGTTGTTGTTGTTGTTAGCGGTGTTGTGCCGAGAAACGCATGTCCTCCGAGAATTGCATGCACCTTGCAAAACGCGCACTGCTTATAGTAGAGTGGTCCACGGAAATGTACAATTTAAAACCCATACAGTTCTTATTTGTTGGGCTTAATAGTCATGAGTAAAGTTCCGAAAGTAATTCTCAGCGGACACACGTCTCCCTCCATGTGCAGAACATGTGCAGGGGTGGGTTTTCTCCTCCCTGATTTTGATTGACAGCTGGCAGGGTAGTCTGATTGGCAACTGAGAAGTGAGTCTGATTGGCAACTGAGTTAAGGACGAAGGCGATTGGTGGATCGCTGCACAGCACATGCAGAGTCACATGCAGTGTATCTCAGTCAGTTACCCTTGAAATTAAATGAGTTCATTCACCTCCAATATCGCAGGCTCTGCGATGTGACTATCGCAAACAAGTACATCGCGATGACGATAGTCAAACGATATATCGTTCAGGCCTAGCTGCAATCACATGGATTCAGTGTCGTTTTTTCAGTGGATACCTTCATTGGTTCAACAAAAGCAGTCATGTCTCATTGGTTTATTTATTCATGCAGAAGAGTCAGGGGTTGAAGATGAGACCTGATCATCGCGGTCTACCTGAGATCCTTGTGAATGCTGCGTGAGTAGCCTGACAGTCCGCCTTAGTGTCAATACTCTTCAAATGTCAGATTTCACACTTCCCTATTTTGTCACAGTAGTTAAAGGAGCCTGCCGGGTTCCCCCGTCAGCGCCTGCTCAACCAGACCAGACCCAATCCGGGCTCCTCAATTATTCATAGGAGAGAAAACACTCACATGTGCTCTCACTTTACATGTCTGTGGAGATGAAGGATTGTCCTGGCATTTGACGAAACAGGCGATGAAACGGCTCTCAGCTCAGGAAGGAAATGTCAGTCTGCGGCGAGGGCAGGAGGGAGGGGGGTCGAAGGGTCTGGAGCCTCCCCTGGAAAAAGGATGAGCCCCTCGTAGCTCTTGTTCCCCCTTGGGAGGATTTTGATGAATATGTTTGTGCGGTGGAAATGTAACATTTATTGAGTGAAGAGACACTTCACTGGCTGGTCCATGCAAAGTCGTTTTTTTTCTTTGACTGGAGTGAGGAGGGTCGGCCTTCGCCGCCTGTCTTGGAATTCTACTTGTTGATCAATTTGATTACAGCGGAAAATAATGTTGCTTATCTCTTTCCAGCGGTTGTAAAAGTGTCAACTCAGTTTTTATGAAAGGATGCAGCGGCTCTGAGCGGCTGCATTCATGTTGTTCCAAAAAAACAATTTATTGTTTTAGTCCTACCAAAACTGGACTTTGAAAAGACGTGTAAACACAAAAGTCCGACTGACTAACATGACTAGATGTTGTAGTTGGGGAATCGATTATCTCATCTATGTGTATGACTATACCGCACTTTAGCCACATTCAGGCTAAACACTAATGGTGCTAATTATTGCTGTGTGTGTTATTCTGCTACTCAATGGATGTAGGGCTGCACAATTAATTGATTTTAAGTCGTAATCGGATTATTTGATTATGATGTTAAAAAAATTGAAATAGTGCCTCCAGGCCACCGTAGACTACCCAGTTCTCACACACACCAGTGTAAGCAAACATGGCGTTTGCAAAAGACGAAGAGCAAACCGCTCCCCACTGCAAAGTCTGTCTGAAGGCGGAATCAATCTTTCCACTTGGAAACGAATTCAGAAGAAAATACAAAAGTGTATTATCATATCGGCGTTTCAGGTGACTGTAAACTGTACTTTTTAAAAACGGGTTAATCCATAAATGACGACCATTTCATCTCCGTGCGGATGACCATCTGACAGCAGCAACTCTGCATACCATAACATCACATATATTCAGTGCATGGTGATTGGACCTTTGTTGACAAGGTTTCCTCACCCCTGTGCACAGACTCACAGGCACAAACTCAACTGGAACCAATTCAGAGAGGAAAACTAGTTATTGCACAAACAGAAAAAAATTCAGTCCAAACTATATTGTGTATCTATATTTATATAGAAACACATTCAGATAGATATATTAAATTCCATTTCTAATGTGATTACATCTTAGTATTTGTTTTTGTTTGCTGTAAACCACCCGGTCCTTTTCACTGCTGTTGTCAGCTGTAGCATCCATCCTAAAAAAAAGAAAACATAAAAGTCCAAAGGCAGTGATTAATGAAGCCACCTCCGCCTGTGTGGACGAGATGACTCAGCAGTATGTTACAGGAATTCAGACGAGGGAAGGTAAGAGACTCTCCTGGTTTTCAGTGTTGCGTGCAGCGAGGTTATGAGGCGTTATGAACTTGAGCTGGAGTAGAAGGAGTCTCCCTGAATAATAGATCAGCCCTTTGATTCAACCTCTGTTCTACTATTTTTCTGCATGCATGAGTAAATTCCTATGCGTGCCGGTCTACTGCTGCAGTGCGCCGCTGCTGTACATGAAGAATGTGTGAATGCATGTGTGTGTACGTGTGTGTGAGTGTGTGTCAGGCGCTGACTTTGTGTTCATTCCACAGTAAATTGATCTGGCTGCTCACTAGACTGGATGGAAAAGGGCCTGAGGCGAGAAGTGCATACTCCATCAGCAGATGGGAGAGCCCACTGTGTAGCCATCACAAGGCATTCCTCCTCACTGGGCATGCTCAGTGGGCCACACCCCACACACACACACACACACACACACACACACACACACTCCCACTTCCACCACCTCACCCCTTCCCCCCTCCTCCCAGGGCCTGTTTGAACCAGTCAGTCGGAGGTGGCGGCCGTGCTCGCTCATGTTTCTCATCTGACCTTCAAAGCCAGGCATGAGGACAGTAGGTTGGCGGGGGGAGGAGGCAGGGGAGGAGGAGGGGTGTTTTTCTCAGAGCTCTTTGGGTAACAGGGCTGATATGTCACTCATTATTTCCACTCTATGCTCTGGCTCTGCCTCTGCCCTGTGAGAGGCATGCAACAACCCGGTGACTCGCACGCAGGGCCGGCAGAGCAAACAGAGGAGAGTTAATGCAGTATATCACCATTTGGTCATTCACTGGAAGCACATAGAATCGTGTAAAGATGTATGAATTTTAGATTTTATCACCAAAGTACACAAATCTATGAATAATATTTAAACAGGAACACAAACAGGTAAATGTCAAAGCATTGAAAGAAGAACTGAAAATAACGAGAAAATAGCATTATTAGTTGGCACCACATTCTTAAATGCCAAGTGTTAAAGGGTCCGTAACAGCATAAAGTGCTGTATGTGCTTCATGTAGGGGTATCTACATGCTTTACGTACATCGTAGATTGGTCGCTGATACCAAAAGAGTAAATTCCATTCACGTTGAAGAGGTGGTATTATCTTCTTTTCATATGTTACCATCAAATATAAAATTAAAATTTTAGATGTCCCTTTTAAATTTGGGAAAAGTCCCAAATTGTGAGGTAAATGCATGTTGACATATACCAGGATATGACTGCAGGCTGCTTTGAACAGTCTGTTCATAAAGTCAGATAAGATCTAAACAAGATCGACATGACATTTGCTCGATTCATATATCACCTTAAACAAGGGCGGAGAGATTCTAACACCTGTACTTTGTTATACTGGTTTTTGGCCCCATGCCAGACTTTCTAATTAAAACCAGTCTGTTCGATAACAAGAACATGAACGAGAGCTTGGCAACAGTGGAAGATGGTTCCGGGGTGCCTGGTTTAAGAATGCTTTGAGGTGCATATTGTCACATATTTGTAATTTGATGTTGACAAGTTGAGAGATAACAGTTTTACTCAATGACAACACCTTGTTGGTGGCAACAGTGGAGGAGGGTTCTGGAGTGCTTTGAGGTGTCTTAAAAAGACAGTAGCTAAATTCGGTGTTTTCAGAGACACTAGTCTGAGAGAATAACGTTTTTTTTTTGTTTTAGCTTTGTATCGTGTAAAACTACAAACAGCTAAAAAAAGGACAATATAGCGTCTTCAACTCTCCTGTAGTGACAGTTGTAGGAGTTTAAGTGTTTGTACTTATTTAGCAATTATAGGTCATAATATTGCTACGTTTGACTTAATGATGTAATTCAGGTGTGTTTTTACAGCCTGTTCTTAAAATAGACTCAGGTTAGTTTATACAGCTGTCATTAGTTTCTTATCTCCGGCAGCATTTAGATAAAAAGGGAATATTATGATGACATGACAGTCGTGTCCCGCTGTAATGAATACAAACACCTCATCGCCATTATCCGAGCACGGTGCCTGCTGACAGAGCGAAGCACTGAATCACACGCTGAATTCCTCACTGAGTCACATGACAAGCTACAAACAGAAAGAGCTTTTTTTTTCTTCCCCTCCTGAATCCCTCAGGCTTTTACACGTTCTCTCTTTGTCCTGTCACCACATTCTGCTCGTCTCTGCTCCTTCTGTCTTTGTTCGCTTCTCTCTCTCTCTCTCTCTCTCTCTCTCTCTCTCTCTCTCCATCTCTCTCTCTCTCTCTCTCTCTCTCTCTCTCTCTCTCTCTGACTCGCGCGGCCAGCTTCCTGTTTGTGTCAGGCGAGCATCAAGCCAATCAGCTGTGAAGGCTGTGATCCTCCTCGTAGCTATTTACTACCCTGTGGTCTGTTTAAAAAAAGACTGAAAGCGAGCTAAGCTTGGTGCAGGCTGCTGAGTAAGCAGACACGCAAAGCTCCAATCAGAGTCCACAACTGACCCACATACATCCCTGCCCTCCTGCTTATGAAAGAGAGTGCATCTGTGTTTGTATGTTTGTATTTTTACTTCCTCGCCCTGAGAAGAATTCATCTATCTGCTCATCGTGTTTCTCGCACTCAGCAGGATCTGCACGCTGACATTTCTGTGTTGCCGCTGAGGGCTGGAATGTGCTGGTTTGCAAGTTTTCAAGATAACAAAGCAGCATGAGGCGGCTGCGTGTAAACTTTGGATGAGGTCACGGTCCGCCAACGCAGCACGCCGTGACATGGGAGGGGATTTTGTTCTGGATTCTCCCTCGGTGGTGTCATACCTTTGCTCTCCTTTTTTTCCACCTACCTTGTTTACACACATGACAATAGCAGGTTATCAAAAACGGCGAGCCTTAGATAACTTTATTGTTTTTAAACAGCCGGAGCAAAGTGCAGACTGCAGGGGAAAAACAACACGGATAGACGGAGCGGAGGCCTGTTTGTGAGTCCAGCCTGTGCAAGCTCCCTCTCCCAGGAGTTCAGAGTGTACTATAAATCTGTTAGACAGGGAGAAAATATAATCAGGGCTTTGCTGGGGCATTTGAGTTCACTGCAGGCATTACATGAGAACTAATGCCTGATTCAACACTGGCTCTGGCAAACATGCCTGACATTCAGCGTTCGCTCCCCTCAATGAAAGCTGCGAGTCAGACAGTCTGATAGCTCACCCTGGAATTAGATTCAGGAAGTCATGAGATTTCCAGGTGCCTCGGCTTTCCTCGAATTGTTAAGCAGGGATTTTTCAGAGCGTTGCCAACGCACATTAAACTGAAGAAAGCCTCCTGTAAAGAATTACACCGATACGTTTACTGTGCTTATCCTGCATGGCAACGTCTAAATCCAAGAAACAAACACTTTATAAAACCCAGACCTCCTGAGCGAACACATAAATAAACCTCCTCCTCCTCCTCCTCCTCACAAATACTGGAAGAAGAAGAAAAAAAATACACATATGAGAGGAAACAAGAGGAACAATGAAGGCTTGGACTTTTTTAGAGAGAGAGAAAAAAACTCTCCCCGGTGAAATCATTTGATACACAGAAATGCATGAATAATGAATGTGCAATGAACTCCTGCTGAACCTTCTGCACCAGCACCGAGCCAGAGATCAGCACATGACGTCCAACACACACACACACTCACACACACACACACACACGCACGCACCCAGTGACCTCTGCAAAGCTCCGACACAGGAGGTAATCTGCTGCAGAGGATTGTGTCTGCTGCGTGAATCATTACGCTGAGCTGCACCTGGCTGCAGTCACACAGAGAGGACGCTTACTTTGATAAACCTCACGACCGTTGGGAGGAGGAGGAGGAGGAGGAGGAGGAGGTGGAGGACTCGGCCAGCCAAAGTGGAAAGATAAATACGACCAACCGGTGCTGGAGCGGTTAAAGCTCCCGCCCTTTTGGCAGCTGAGTGTGTGTGTGTGAGTCAATGTTTAACCCTTGTGTCAACACAGCGCATGTGTCACAACAGCATTCCTGTGAGGCGTTTGTCTTGTGACAGAGCGGTTTCATAATGGCAGCTCGGCTCTCATGTATTGTTCTGTGGCAGGAGGAAGGAGTCGAGTCCTGGTGTTGGGTGACTTGTAACCCGACGAGTTTCATGTCCCTGCATGTCGGGTTTGTAATAAACCCGGTTAACCAGTCCAAACAGCAAACGCAGCGCCCTGTTTACCCAGAATAATCCTCCCTCTCTGCTTTTCCTCCTCACTGTAAATGGTTAACTTGGCAGGCATCATGTGAGCGCTGGAAAGCTTCTGCCTTTCTCTTTTTTTTTCCTTTCTTGGCAGTTACACGGGGAGGTGAACTTTGCTCGCTTTGTTGTTAGGCAACCACATTTTTGATCCGAGTTTTTTTTATCATGTGAGCAGAAAAACAGAAAGAGAGCACGTCACACAAGATCTGGAAGCAAGGCAGGAAAGTCTGCAGATATGTTCTTCAGACAGGACTGACATATTTAACTTTAAATACTTCTACTTTCTGTCCGTATATTTCTAAAATGTGAGAAACACGTTTAATTGTGCTTTCATAAATAGAATAAAATCTATCCCATAATGCCCTCTACTAATAAGTTTCATTGGCTAACACACAGCTTCTCTCACTCCCCACAGCCTGAGATAAATGGGACAGACAGTACATCACCGAGCTTATCAAGTGGGCACCTCCCTTCAATAATGTTTCGTTAAGTCAGGCCCACGACACCCCAACCCAAACTTTTGAAACTCCGTCTTCATGATATCTTTTGGAAATGTCGACGTTTTAACGTGGATCCTTTGAAAACAGTAAATTCACAGCCCCCTTGATGCGTGAATATTATGTTCCCAGTCAAGCAGCCATGTGTGAGTGAAAGGACAACAACAGCGAAGGCGGACTGTTGAGCTGTATTTGTGTTGCTGACTCAACTGAGTCTTCTAGATAATGGTTTTTGAATGTTTTTGAATAGTCTCCTGTTTTCATGTACACAAGACTTTTTAGCTTTCATACATCCAAGGTTTCATCTGCAAATATAAAGGCAGTTTAAGGTGGTCGTGTTGCACGCACAGATATTATGATCCCGTGAGTTCCTAGTTTGGTATCACTTAAGTACTTCTGTTGAATCAATCAAACGACAATATTTGTGGAGAAAAAGACAGACCAAAGAGAGGGAAACTGGAGCACGGAGGAGAGGCGTCTCGTGAATGTGATGTCTGATTGGCAGGAAGAACTTAGAGCTCCACGGATGAAAGTGAAGCAGCAGACATGGCTGACGGCAAGCAGCAGATTCAGAGCAGAGAGACATCCCCCGTCCGACTGATTTAGACATCGGAGAGAAGTCAGTGTTCATGTTTGTAGCCTAGTCTTTGATTTAAAGTTAGGATTGATATAGTTAAAGGGTCTCCGTGTTCGAGGTTAGTTTAGTCTTCAAAGGGACCCTTTTACTTTGAGACTGTGAGGACATTTTAGAGCCTGGACCATGAACTATCACTGCAGGAAACTTTGCATGAGTGTGTGCTCCTCCGCTTCAGTAATGACTGTGTGCCACCTATGTTGATGAGCCGAGTCATACGTGTGAAAATAAAAGTGTGTGAAGGAGGGCGGTATGTGTTTTGTCCTTCAGGGTAACCCTGGGTGTTGCCAGACTTGTCAGTCAGTGTGAAACCATTTCCGCTCCAAGGCCGTCTGGCTCCTCCCTCCTATTGTGTGGCAACGTGGTGGAGGTGAACTTTATCCCTCTTTGTTGAAAGAGCTCTCTCACAATGATCTGCACAAAACAAGGTCGAGTTAAACATCTGTGGGCCTGCTGAACAATGTGGATCCCATCACTTCACAGAAGGAGGGGGGATAATCACAACCTTTCATGTGTGAAAGCAGTTTCTAACCTGCCCAAACCTGTGCGCCGTGTGTAAAACAACCTGAATATACACCCTGTGTTACATTAGCATCACACGCTGATAACACACACACACACACACCACTCCCTGCTCTTTGTGCCCTTTGGACAGGCAGGTTTTCTGCAAACACACGCTGTAAGACGGCTCCTATCAGCAGCCGGCTCGTAGTCGTTACAAATTTGCACAACACAAACACCCGGCTTCATATCACCCCGGGCTTATCAGGCTCCTTCAAGGGCACTGAACTTTCCCACAACGTGGCTCCCTCGCTCCGTCCTTCTCTGTCCCTCTGGGACTTCACTGTTGCGTCAAGGATCTGCTATTTATCCCATGTGCTTCCACAGTATTACTGAGCCAGTTGTGCTGAGTGGTCGTGGTGGTTATGACTAAACTCCCCACTGTGTGTCTGTTAGGAGTCATGACTGTATGTGTATGACAACATCTACCAGTGGCTTTGTTGCAAAACTGGTTTGTCATTGCAGCAGCTCCAGTTGAGGTAATGTTAGTTCCTAAATAATGAATGTCATCACTGTTACTGCTGAAACTCAGAGCTCTGCGGTTCTTTTCTTTAGAAGAGTCGCTCTTTGTGTTGACTTTGGTTTAACTCGATCACTTCTTCAAAGTATATTTAAGTCAGCGGGGACATTTCTTTTTCGCAAAAAGAGCTGCAGTTATGATGAAGAGTAAATAAAGCCATATTTACTGTAAACACCTTAAAACCATCTCACGGTTCACTTGTGTTTGTACACTGTCTCTAACTCACATGTGGGGTTGATTGAGCAGCTAGCATTACCTCACAAAGTTTCATGTCTGGCATCTACGTCCAAGATAATAATATGATTTTCTAGTATTTTTAAGTTTGTAGACTAGCGAACTTTGACGGATAAACATAATTGATGTTTTCTCGGCAGACCTCTGATCTCTGATACAGTTTTTAATCACACATTCATGTACCACAGTAGCCGTGCATAACTCGTTTCCTCTGAACTGAAACATTTGTTCTCGAGTTTTGCCATGGATCCTTTTTGGTTTGATTGCATAACAACAACAGACAAGTATAACCTCACAAGTTTGGCTTATCCTGATTGGAAAAGACAAGATGGATGACTGCAGCCGTTAACTCATGGTTCACAGATGTTGTGGTTACATTTGGAAAAGTGATATTTCTTTAGTTTTCCCGCAAATGAACCTCTGCGCCGCCGAGTTACTTGGAAGCAACCCTTTTTTGGTAGCGGCCATAAATAAGCCCAGGTTCCCGCCACAGATTCCACACATGCTTTACTGCCCTCTCTTTGATTGTCTGCTTTATGGAGGATGTTTCATCATGTGCTGCGAGCGCTCGTGCCGGAGATGTCCTTCCTCCCCTTTCCATAAAAGTGCAAGTTGTCACAACGGTGTGGCATTCATTATCCGCCTGCGGTTTAGCAGGCCGGACCCCGGAGCAGCTGGGGAGCATCGGTTGTCACATTCAGCCTCCCGTTGCGGTGAAAGATGGGAGGGACGGAGATGAGTGCTGTACCCCTGTCTGTGTGATAAAGCCCCCAGCCAACCACAGAGTCTGGGCATCTGAGCACACGATCCCTCGCCTCCCTCATCCACTTCAAAGCCCTGTCTCAGAAAACAGCTCGCCGCGAGGAGCCGAAATAGAAAATGGAGATAAACTGCAGAGAACAACCGAGTGTGAATTCACGAGAAGTCAAGTCGAAGGACAACCAGACCATGTTACACCGAGTCTAATTTTTATCATTCTTTGTTATGATGAGATTTCACTCGCAGAGTTTAGTGTTTGTATCAGGAACAAAGTCTGTAAGAGTGAGAAAAAGGCAGTAGGGTGAGTCATAAACAGAATGAAGAACCTTTTATCAGCAGATACTGGTGCTTTATGGGGAATTTTTTCTGTCTTCAAAGAAAACTGTGATGTTGTGGTCTAGAAAGTATTCATGATCAAAGATGAACCAAGAGGTTAGTCTTGAAACTGTGATGGATTTTTAAAAACAACATTTTTTCAACATTTTTTAAAAGACATTTTTCTCATATAGTTTTTTTTACTAAAACCTTCTCTGTGGTGTTATTGCTACAGAAATGAGTTGACAGGTTATGAGCAAAATCCTAATCTAGGATGTGTGTGACTTTTAGGAGGATGAATCCAAAGTGAGTGTGCCGGTTATGATGGCAAAGATCAAAACTGATCACAGATCTGCCGAGAAACCACTACAGATTTTTGAATAGACGACTTACGATTTACCGGATGTTACGCTATGACATAATACACCGTGCTGCACATGCTCACCTGACTGTTTCGGAGAAGAACAAAACTTTTAAAACGTTTGTTGAATGGATCGGTCATTCCTGATGCATCTAAAAAAGTCAGGAAATTGCTGTTTTTCCGACTGCCCTGAAATACATACAGATATCTCTGTCTATTGATGGACTGTGTTCTGCCTGTTTTTGCTCTCCATACTGACCGTTTATCCCGCAGACAAAGCCTGCGCATACATGTTAAGTCAGTACTACTGAGACTACTTATGCAGTACAAACAGAAACTAGAACATTTCTTTGCAAGTTGAATCTCTGAATACACATTCTACCTTAAATACCGTCTCAAATGTGAAGATTGTTTGTTTGTAGAGGAGGTTTCGTAAGTTTTGCATTTAGACCGGTTCTGTTTGATGCTCACACCATCCTGTCTATGAACACTTTCCTTAAAAACTGAGACACTTGAGAGCTTCCAAATAGGCCAGTATTTGCTATTCCTGGTTTCCTCGCTCACAGTCAGCTTGTTTCATGTTCTATACATCACAGGAGTTACTCTGCGTGCCCGTTTGCTTTCAAGGCAAATGTTACTAGAAAAGGAGCCGCTTTGATCTCCTTCCAGCAGCAGCCCTGAAATATCTTCTAAATAAAGCCGTTATAAATATGCATGTTCACACACATTTTTCTGTATAATTCACCAGGGTTTCATCTGAATGTTCGGCTGAATTAATGTATGCAAAGGAGTAAATACGAATAGTTTGTGCGGAATAGGACAGCAGTGATGTGAAAACTACGCCTGCACTTGACTGTATAACACCCGAGTGCTGTTTTAGCTGCTGTGCAGGGGATGTCAGAGTCCATTTTCTAGCAAGGCAGCTCAAAAATAGACAGGAGCTCCGGTAATAAATAAGCCTGCTTTGGGAAAGTTTTATTTTGGCTTAGAGGAAGAGGTTACATAAGGCATGAAATACTCCTTCTTTTCTTTTTGGCTCAAGGAGGGAGAACCAAGAATCGTAACCTTTTGTCAGAGAGAAGCTGGAAGAAACCTTTTGTGTCCAAATTTCAATGTTTGTGTAACACAAATACACAAAGTTAGACAACAAACACTTTCACACTTCTTTGTGCAGAGAGAAGCTGTCAAGTCCATCTGTGTTCTGCACAAGAAACCAGACCTACAGAAACTAGTGCTGCAGGAGTGGCTGTGTGCACCGTGCTGTGTGTTTCTGTGTGTGTTTCTGTGTGTGTGTGTCAGAGAGAAGGGAGAGGGAATGCAGCAGAATGACATTTTGAACATTTTGTCAGAGTCGGTCACAGAGCAGGAATGACTGCACAGTTGAGTTCAGCATGCTAAACATAACAACAGTGAGTCAGGCATGAAACTGCCTTGTAAGGGCACTGAGTCAGATGCCATTTATACGTGCAGGTGAAGTTACTCATTTTAATGGCAGCAGCCTAAGAATGGGCTCATGTAACTCAAAAGCTAAAAAAGGACATTAGTTTAACCTTTGCGTTCACAGCGGGGAAAGTTTGTTTACATCAGCGTCTGAAAAAATTGGGGGGTTTCCACTGGACAGGAAATGATGTCGTCTGATCTTTATGCTTGTAAGCTTACTTAGCGTAGCGTAACAGAAGCGCTGCTCTAGTTTCTCAGTTCCTGGTTTCAAGTTTTAAACCACAACCTCCAGAAATAATGTACATTTACATTTCTGTTGCACAAGAAGTCACAAGACACTCCAATCGGAGCTTTCTCAACAAGCTTGACGAAAGTCTGACTCGTCAGGGAAACAAAAATGAAATGTATTCTGTGTGAAAACTGCAAGTGTCAGGATGAAAAGAAATTCCTGCCATGTATTTTTTGTGTTTTACCCGCTAAAGGGAGTATCATGACCATGCTTTCAAACTATTGAGCTGTAGTCCCACGAGGGTAAACTGGCTAACAGCATCCCTCAGATTAGAAGGTGTCATTATTAGTGAAATAAAAGTTTGGATTCAGGAGGAAATGTTGCTAAGGAGATCGATATAAAACCTTGAATTTGATATTTCCTTGTAGAACCAGTGAACGGTTTCTCTGTGCAGCACACTCTCCTCACATCCTGCAGACTTTATTTACATTTTTCTGCAGGGATTATGTCCTCCACCTCTCCCTGGGTTATTTACTGCGTCGTCTGTCCTCTGACAGGCCCGTCAGATTAAGGGGATATGTTACCGTCCTGCGTTTTTTCTAAACGGTTACACATGTGGCACATCTGGGTTCAAGCCTGACTCATTACTCACTTTTTTATGTTCTTTTCTCTGCAGCCATGGCAACTGCTGCATGTTTGGCAGAAAGATTTGAAGGCAGTGGAAAAAGAGAGAGAGCCTAGGGAGAGCAGGCGAGCGAGCGAGTGAGTGAGGGAGGGAGCGAGTGAGCGAGCTCTCAGTAGTTGGCCTACATCCAGTGTAATCATGCCATGGAGCCGAAATGAGGCCTTTGGCAGCACACCAGGTTTCTGAGAACAAAGATGTGAGCTTCTAATGTTGGCGGTGGGGCCTGCTTGGCATCCTTTGCCATTTCCCAGCAGCCCTTGCCTTGGCGGACGGCCAGCCCCCCCTCCCCCCCTTCACCCTCCGCCTCACCCCCTCCAACCCCCCCTCACTGGAACTGCAAAGAGGATCAGAATAAAGAGAGAGGCTTGTTTTTCACTCGCCTCTTGCTCTGGCCCAATGACATCACCTCTGCAGCCTCCAGCCCCCAGATTCCAGCCGCCCAGCACATTTTTCCCTCTCGCTGTCGACCCTCCATTTTATTTGAATTCCTCCATTTTAAACCTTTTATCAAAGCCGACTAATTCATGTCAGCGTTTATATTTCTGTGCAAATCATTCCTCCTCTTCACCGAGAATAACCCATTCAGAAAAATCAAGAATATTATAAAAGATTTCAAGCTGCGAACATGACAGACTGAAGAAAGCAGAGACGATATCTGTCAGAGCTCCCCAAATTTTATCTTTGCGGAGCAAATCTGTGGCTAAAAATAGCACCGTAAACAGGATATATATGGTAGCCGGGGTGCTGTGATAATCTCCATGGCTACATCTCCCTGTTACAAATACTGGAGCTCTGCAGAGCTGTAGCACAGTAGCCCTTCAATTTTATCTCCTCATATTCAGCAAACTGCCTTCCTGTGCAGTATGGATTCAGTAAAGATCATCTGTGGGATCTATATGAAGCAGGTGTAGTTGTTGCAGGAAAAAAAGGTCCAGAGAGGAGATATATCAAGTAAAAATGAAAATATTTGTAGGGATATTTAGATTTTTTTAACCATCTAAATGATACAAACAGTGTAAAACTCACACTTTTACTCTAAAGAGTGAGGTATTTAAATGCAACAGAACCTGTAGGGCACATACAGTATAGAAATAGATGTTTGGGTATTTAACTCCAGTAATTTCTCCTCATGCTGTCCTGTCCTGCCCTCCTTTTATGTCTGTGCGACATGTTACAGTTTAGTTTCATGCTCACTTCAGCAGTTGTGCTACTGGGGGGAGGAGGGGGGGTTATATAACATGACTGCTGCCCTCATAGAGGGGGGAAAAACCGAGAAAACATCCACCGCTGTGCTCTGCCTCTCCACAAAACTTCAGAGAGAATCTGTGATGACTCCAACCATGAATAAAAGATGGCCAATATAAAATTTAACAGGCTCAGAAAGCGGCAGAACAAAAATAACGTCATCTCGTCAGTGCTGTCACATGCTGGGTATTCCCCTGGCCGTCACCTTCCTCTCACTCTTTATTTAGCTGCTTCATGTCTCAATTCACCCAGAAAGGGTTCAAAACAGCCCCGTACAGCTGCCAGACTCCAATAAGACGGCCGTCAGCTGGGTCACGTAGTGGTGGTTTTACTGTAAACAAGCTTCATATCACCAATCCTCAAGACTCATTTCCTAACTGTGTCATAAAGCATAGCAACACTTCCTGCTGTTGTTCACCCAGTAAGGACTCACCCTACGTTCAGCTGCTCCAGTAGCCCCAGTTTCAGTGCTGGGAAATTGTTTTTTCTGACTCTAGAGTGTTTAAAGTTATACTTAAAACATAATGTTTATGCATTTAACAAAAAAATGTGTTAAATTTTGTTGTCCAGTAAGGACATGAGAAGAGAAAGTCACTTGTAATACTGGAATAGTAATCAAACTAATAGTTTCAGTTACGGCAACATTTGATTAGGTCTGTCATGTTCTTACAAGGTACAGTATAATATCAATTCTGCTGATTTAGAAAACCAGAAGTTTTCCCTAAAGTTGTATTCACACATGCGCTAAACTCCTGAAAATTTCCTGAAATGTCCTCCCAAAGACGTCCTAAAATTTTCAGGGCGGGCTCCGTCAAAGGGCCAAACATTTTACCCTGACTTTGACCAAGCTTTTTCACGACCATCCCCCCGGTAAAATTCTGCAAGAAGTCACGGTGAGCCAGTGTGTGAGGCAGCAGGTTAAAAGTTGGGAAAATTCAGGCTGACCTTTTTCACTCAGTTGGTGTGTCAATAACACAAAAAAGACAGCAAATATTCAGGGGAATTCACTACAGACAATAAGGACAATTATACCATCAACTCATTTGTCATTAGTGTGAATACATCCAATCAAATGCATCTTTGTAGTGTCAGGCTTTGCATCCGTCACCATCTTGGGTGACCTTTAAACACACCGTAATGACAGGCAGCGTCTAATATCTCATGCTCTGCCCTCTTGAGGCCCCCTCCACTCCCATATGGGGGGAATCTTCTCACGTAAGGGACTTGTGTAAACAAGCAACTTTGCAGAATTGACCTGAAAATTTCCTGAGAATTGCATGTGTGAAAAGGGCTGAAGTTTCCTGGTTCAAATGTGTATTTTTCATTGAGGTATACCTCCTGATTTAGTTTAATATCTGACTGACAGGAAACAGTTTGATAATAGAGCACTTTAAAGTCAGGGCAGTAAAACCTTGTGACGTCTTTAAATGTACTAAAGGGATTATTATGTTGTTGCACTGCTGGGCGTGCTCACTCATAAGTTGGCAGCTGAACAGAAACAATCATGTCGGATCACATGGCAGCTGCACGGCAATTATCTGAGCTCTGCGGTGACAGATCAGCAGCACAACTGCCTTATTTTGTTTATGGAAACACTTTGAAGAAAGGCCTCATGCCACAGTGCGTGATCACAGCCGCCGGCAGGGAGCCAAACGGCCTTCACGTCCCATCGATGGGTGAGGCGGATGAGGGTACGTGACTAAACATCTCGCTTCCTCTTTCCAACGTCACATGGACTTGCACAAACATATCCTGCTTTGTGTCTGCAGGTTACAGACGCATTGCCTCACCCACAGCCCGAGGCTAAGCTGCAGCGAGTTGGAATGAGCCCAGATGAGAGGGAGGAATCTGAACTACTGGGACACGCCTCCACTCCAAACCTACACTTTTACTTTAGGGGATTTCTGCTGCATGACCTGTTTCTAGTAGCATTTTTTTCCATCGTGTTAAACACTCAGCAGCAGAGTCATTAATCTTGTTCCACCGCTCAGAATAACACTTCCCTTTTCTTCTGACCTGTTTGACTTACAAAAAAAAAAGAAAAAAAAAAAGTCTGGTTCTGCACTTTAGTATGATTTAATTTAGCAGCGGCACATTTCACTGACTGGACGGCAGTAGAGGAAAATGTGGGCAGAGTTGTGCTCATGCCTCTAAACCCCAATCCATTCAAGTTTACAGCACGCTGGCTGGAAATCCCCTCCTCATGACAGAGCTTCCTGGTTACAGGCTAATGGAGGCGCCTTTTTGCTTTCTTTTTATATCAGCGGGGCAGGAAAATATTATCTAACCGGTGCTTTAAAAACACAGGGCAGTGCTTGTTGTACGCTGACAAAATACTGAGCTGTACAGGAAGAATGTGGGCAGAGAAATACCTCTTAAAATCCCTGCATGTGTCTGTAGTTTGTGTGTATGTGTGTGCATGTATCTGGAGAGTATTTTTATCCTGTTTGCATACAGATCTTCGTGTTCTTGCTGCACAGTAGTCATACATTATAGAAATAGCATTAGTTTAATGGAAAATTAAGGCCTCATCAGGGAAAAAGAAACAGAATTTTTGAGGAGAAACTCGTTTATGAGAATTCAGACCTGTTCCTCCCAAAAATAAAGTCGTAATTATATGAGAGAGAAGTTTAAATTGCTGGTTGTGGTTAATCTACAAAATAATATACAGGCTGTTATTAGGAGGACAGCCAACTGCCTGCACCACAATGAGTAATATGAACTGTCTCACAAAGTTATATAAGCCCATAACAGACCCAGCTTCATGCAAAGTAGGTTCAGAATCAGCAAAGACAAAGTATTCAGTTTGTAAATGAAAATATAAAGTATGACTACACAAAATGTTTAAGGTGCTTTATCTCAGCGCAGTAAGAGGCTAGCTAAAACAACATACTCGCAAAGTATTATTATGTAAGATTAGGGTATTCTCTCATAGATGTGTGACTTAAATCTCTCGATACATGCTTTCGTATATATGTTGAGATGTTTATTCTCATGGCTGTAATCTTGTGAATATACTACTCCGTTGTATTACTCAGCTTCTACTCGGCTTCTCAGGTCTTCTGCGTACCCTAAAGTTAGCTGAAGGAAATTGGACTCATCTGACCACAGAGTCGTCTTCCAGTTCCTGGCTGTCCGCTCTTTGTGTGACGCTGGGTTAACCTCAGGGCTTCTTGACAGCCTTGCAGGACCTTCAGCTATGATCTAAGAGTCGGCCACATACGGTGCAGACCTTAGTTTGGTGCGGTCAGAAACCCTTGGCCGCCTAGATCTTGGTTTGTCCTCTAAGTTGTTGGTTTGTTTGTATTTCTGCAGAGTCTATTCAACAGCTGAGTGACTTCATCTGCACTTTCTGTCGATCTGGGGGCAGAGGCAGCTGTACCCACGCTGGCTGAGAATCTGTATCTTCAGGCGTGTTTCCTGCGTTAGGTTCCTTGTTTTAGTCATTTTTGTTCCTGAAGTACTTTTCAAACATCAACAAAAATAGTGTCCTCTAATAAAAAGCACAACCTTAGTCATTAGTTTTTTAGTGGTACCAAATGACTCAATACCCCAAATTCCTCAAGTATTGCTATGGATCAGTTTTTAATGGCTTTTAATGATTTGTTTAGTGTTTGCAGTAACCCTCTAAAATTATACATTCATGAGAATAAGGTCATATACTAATCTTTATTTTTGCAAGTTTATAATTTTTAATATCTTTAAAGTCACAAATTTAAGTCTGTCATGTCATAAATTTACAACTTTAATTATGCAAATTCTCTCTTTTTTAAAAAATTGTTAACCTTTTTGCATAAATTCATGAATTTCTTACAATTGCGACTCTACTCTCGCATATTTACGATTTCAATTTTGCGAATTTACGATTTTTAGGAACGTACGACTTTCCTCTGGAAATCTCAGCCTTCAGTATCCGGATGGTGTCCCTGATTCTCGGTCGTACATTAGGATTACAGTAGCCTAGTTTTCCTCCAGGGTCAGCCCACCTCATTCATTGCACACAGCAGTAGCAGCAGCAGCAGTAGTAGTAGCAGCTCATGGCGTCGCGGCGCTGTGCATTGAGAAAAACAAGCTGCAGCGGATCAGACTCTGAATTTAGGACAAAGCAGCAGCAGTCTGCCGGAGGAGCTGGAGACTCTTGGCTTTTAAAATATCCCCTGGCGGTTTGTTTAGATCCGGCAGGGTGTTAAAAAGCTGAATTTCGGGTGTAGGAAGGCTGGTATCGCTCTGTCTCCTGTCGGACTGAGAATAATAATAAAAAATAATATTGATAAATAATAATAATAACAACAATAATAATAGAATCAGAAGCAGGAGCGGCGCGCTCGGTGCAGATCTGGGTGCAGTTTTGGCGAAGGATCAAGTGATTAAATTAAAATAAAAAAAGCAAAGCAGTGAGTGACAGAGGCTGCAGTAAACCGAGGAGGAGGAGGAGGACGACGAGGAGGAGGAAGGGGGGGTCTGTCGAAGAAATCAAGTCAATAGAAACTGAAGTGGAAGCAGGCGTTTAGAGGTCCACGGTGACGTCACTGGTCCACATTGAGCCACAGTAGTAGAGAGTCAGAGGAGATCGAGAGAAGAGCGCGGTAGTAAAGCACGCACCGACATGAACTTCTCCCTCTCCAACTCCAAAAGTCGGGACTGAATACGTCTGCGTTTTTCTTCCACGAAGGGAACTTGTTGTTTGTCGTCTTTTGAAGGAAATCCGGAGAAGAAGACACATTTTGGCTTTATTTTTCGGGGGGTCGACGGCGAGCGAAATGTCGTCCGCGGCGGTCGCTGCTTCTTCCAGGAGGCAGTCGTGTTATTTATGCGACCTGCCCCGCATGCCGTGGGCCATGATCTGGGATTTTACCGAGCCCGTGTGCAGGGGATGTGTCAACTACGAGGGAGCGGACCGCATCGAGTTCGTGATCGAGACGGCCCGGCAGCTCAAGAGGGCGCACGGCTTCCAGGAGGGCAGGTCTCCCGGGCCAGGGAAGGCGCAGCTCTCCGGGAAGGAGATCCAGGCGATCAACCACGCTGCGGCGGGAGACCCGGGCTCCCGACCGCCGCAGCCTCTGGACCGCTACCCGCTCTCCTCAGACCGCCCGCCCAGGCTGGGTCCTGAGTATCCGTCTGGCAGGCAGGCAAACGGCATCCCCGTTCCCAATGGATTTCCTAAACCCGACGAGCCTCCGGAGCTGAACCGCCAGAGCCCCAACCCACGCAGGAATAGCACGGTCCCCCCTAATCTAGTGCCTTTGGTTAACGGGAGCATGCCCTCCGTGCACGCCGTCAACGGCAGATCCGGACAGATGGGGCTTCCCTCCGCTCTGGCGGCTGGTAGTCCCGCAGACCTGGGCAAGAGACCCGCCTCGGTGTCCAGCAGCGAGCACGACAGAGAGGTGAAGGACAAGCACAGACCGGACAGCCTCACACCGGAGATCTCCGAGAGCCACAAAAACAGGGCAGACCCGGACTGGATCGGCTCGAAAGGAAAGACTGTGAGGGACCTGATGGCTCTGCACACTTTCGACAACAGGTTCAAGAAGGACCATGCGGCCATGCAACAAAGAGTCATGGGCTACGAACCGAGCGCCACCGCCTCTAAGTCAGGTAAGCGTGCAGAAGGGATTCAATCCAGGACTGCTTTCTGTCAATCTGTGATATTCTCATTTTTACAAGGTCTCTATTTAGCCATTAGAGCCCAGGAAAGGGTTAACAGTAAACAAATGTTATTTATAGCATCATGTTGTCAAAATTATAGATTGACTGATAGAGTATTTTCTTATTTCTGTGTTTTGTTCTTGTGGTTGTGTTGTCTGTGAGCTTGCTGGAACAGCAAAAATGCAAGTCTCCATTCCAGCGTAATTGTTGATCCTTGTCTGAGCTGTGCAACTCATCCACAGTGTTTAACCCTTTCCTCCCTGCAGACAGAGGAAAACACCCCCGGAGCATGAAGAGAAAAGCGTCGCCTGAGCCTGAGGGAGAGGGGACGGCTGCCAAGCTGAACGGGGAAGGACAGCAGTGGTTACCCCCACCTACTGACGGACTCAAAATGCCTCCGGTGCCCCCGCCGAGCTTTGCCTCTCCCCCCTCCACAATATCCCCCCACTCCCGCACCACCCCACCTGAGGCGGCGCAGAACGGCCAGTCCCCAATGGCGGCGCTCATCATGGCGGCAGACAATGCAGGTGGGAACAGTTCCCCCAAGGACGCCAACCAGGTCCACTCCACCACCCGCAGGAACAGCAGCAGCCCGCTGTCGCCGTCCTCCATGAATCAGAGGAGGCTGGCGCAGAGAGAAGCATCCGGGGCAGGCACCCCCCACGTGCCGGGCATGGACCAAGTGCACCCCCAAAGCATTCCGGACTCCTCGGTACCCGGCAGCATACCGCTGTGCTGCACGCTGTGCCACGAGCGTTTGGAGGACACACACTTTGTTCAGTGCCCGTCTGTGCCCTCTCACAAGTTCTGCTTCCCCTGCTCGAGGGAGAGCATAAAGCAGCAGGGGGCCACGGGTGAGGTGTACTGTCCCAGCGGAGAGAAATGTCCCCTGGTCGGCTCGAACGTACCGTGGGCTTTCATGCAGGGAGAAATCGCCACCATCCTCGCAGGAGACGTCAAAGTAAAAAAGGAGAGGGACCCTTGATTTTGTCTGAACACTTCTTTGGGGAGGGGAAGCAAAATATGAGTATAAATATATAAATATCACATACATACCATTCAAACAAACTAACGGACTTGTACATATTGGACCCAAGGGAAGAGTATACTTCGTAAACATGGTTGTATAATTTTTGATTTTTGAATACATTGTGTTTCTATATTTTTGAAGATAAAGGTATGTACTCATTATAATGGACTACGTTCCTCTTTGTTGATGTTTAACAAAATTCTTGATGTACTTCTAGGTCTGGTGGCAGTTCCTGTTTAACGTAGAATGTGACTAATGCTACTCTACGAGCACTTGGCAAAACTGAAATGCTTTTAGCTGTACTTGTATGCACTTGTTTAAAAATTGCCAAATACAATTTCTGATCTTGTATGAACTTATTGTCTGAGCTTGCTTCATTTGAGTGACTAAGTGACGCAGACTGTGAACAGATGAGGAGATAAGGCGCTGTGGTCGTGTTGTGACGGCTCAGGAGACGTGATTTACGCTGCGCAACATAAGTAGGCTACTGTTTCACGCTGCAGGACCGCAGCTCCTCTGCACACATGCCTTCCATGATTCATGGGGAAGCATGGGTGAGGAAAAAAAAACAAACAAAAAAAAACAACACAGACACATTGTCCCAAATTTGCTCCAGTTTGTGCATCACTGTAAGTGACTGCAGTGTACAGAAATAGGTGCCAAGTCATGTTCAGTCTGCTGGAATCTGTCGAGTCAGTAATGTGGTGTGAGAAAGTGCATGATTGTCAACATGATTCCAAACAGGGGCCACTTTGTGCAACCAGAAATAAGCACTCCTGCTGAAAATAACTCTGATAACATGTCTACTTTGACCCTGGTACAGACAATCTTCTGCTCGAGTGCAAACTGTGTGACAGAAATGTATTTTATGTAAGATGAGCTTGTTCTAATCAGGAGAGTCCAAGTTTTTAAAAAACCACAATTATAATAAAATCAGAATCAAAAAAAGATGAAAAAGCTTGAATGAGATGCAGTAGCACTTCAGCAACCCTCTTCCTCCTCTAATTTTGTATGACACTGATATCATTCACAGATGCTCTTCCATTCTGTTTCATGCTAAGAGGAGATTTCAGCCTCAGTGTGCAGTGTTTGCTCTTTCAGAGTCACAATAACCATGTTGCTGCTTTACAAACCAACCTCGCTCTGTATCTCTTCACATGCAAATGAAATTGTTGCAGATTCACGGCAGCACAGCCGTAAAAAACAACAATTCTGTCCCTGCAGTGTGGAGCAGGCAGCCAGACGAGCTCACGGGCTCGTCTTTCAGTGCCAAACTGCAGCTCTGTGTCTGCAGGAGAGAAGCTGTGTTGAGTCTGTTTTTGCTCCCTCAGACAAAGAAATGTTCCTCCCGTGTAGCTGACGCTGCACCAAGCAGCACTGACGTGGAGATTAATATCTTGCAGAGTGGGAGAGACTTGATGTTGCGTAATTATTTTGGTCATAATCTGCTTCCTGCACTGTTTTATCGAGCTTTCAACACAGCGAGCGTCCAAAAGCAGATTGTTTGTTTGGTAATGAAATGCCCACACGCGGCTCTGAGGTTGTTGCTCTATTCTGCTTCTCTTTGGATCTCAACATGTGCTCTCGATGGATTTTGGAAGCTTCCTTACAGTCTCACAAAGACATAAGCTGTATGGTGTCGTATGTTATGATTGATTCTCAGTCTTTGCACCTCGTGCTCAGCCGACTCAGACGGGCATGGATGATGATTTTTCCTGGGTAAGAGAGGAATGAACTCTCAACAACAACAAAACATTCAGAGTAAACAAGTTTTTTTTTAAGTGATCTGGAGGCTTTGTCCATCAGAAACCTGTTTTTTTTCTTCCTGGGTGCACATTTTGAAAGCAGCTGTTTGTTTATGATCCTTTTTCCGTCCTTTGCAAAGTTATCTTATCAGTTGGACTTTAAGCGCAGCACAGATTGATAAGGGGTAACACTTTACTCTGCCCGCCAACAACACACCCACTCCACACTCCATCTTACATACTGTTCTCAGAGAGTTTTTCTATTAGTCGGCACTTTGACCTACTTGTTCTTTATGACAGCGTGCTGGGAGCCAAATTGCCACATCCGAGAATATCAGATGATGCAACGAGACACAAAAGAACATTTCTCCCTCTCTCCCTCTCTCTCTCTCCCTGTGAAGATTGATCGCAGCAGAGCCGATACCTGTTTGTTCAGTGCTGACTAAAATAGCCTGCTCTGTTTCTAAAGCACAGTGCTCCTTGTTTGCATGGTTACCGGTGGAATCGGTGCAGAGCAGATGCTCGTCTGCAGCCTGCAGTCCATTCATATTCAGGAGGGAACATTATGGAGAGATTCAGTAAACAAGCAGCATGTGAAGGAGAGGTCAGGCAGAGTTGATGGCATGCGTTTGAGCTTAAACCCTTTTGATTATAAGTATACTGACAATACTGATTTTCATGGTTTGCATCAGTTTAAATCCATATTTAGTTGAAAAAAGTGCAAAGAAAACAGATGAGATGTTGAAACTGAAATATACTGTTTGATGAAAAAATATATACGCTCATTTTAATTACGATGCCGGCGATGTTTTGCAATACAGCCGGGACGGGGGCATGTTTACCACGGGGTTGCATCACTCCTTCTTCTCACAACACTTTGTAAATGTTTGGAAAAAGTTTCTGGGTTTGAAAAGTGAAATGTTGTCTGTCTGCCTGATGGAGTTTCACAGCTGATCAGTTTTTGTTTTGAACCGGTGACGGGTCAGCTCTGCAGGCATGCTAGTTTAGTTTTCTACGATGGTTCAAAGTGTAGTCCGGCAGCCTCCTGGTGTAGTATGTAAAGTCTTTATTGAAAAAGTCATTGCTTGGATGTTTTATGAGCCTTCCTATACCATGACCACGTATGGACCTCTCTCCTGTTATGTGGGGTCCATGATATCCAAAAATAACATCAAATTTAGTTCTCCACTTCGACTCAGTCCATCTTAAACCTGCTCAGGCTCAACAAACAGATTTTTGTAAAACATTCAGAGCCCATGCGGTGATTTCCACTACAGTAATATCTCAGTCTTTAACACCTGAGTCTAGAGATTTTAATAATATTCTCTGCTGCAGATGATGAAATCCTTTAATCTTCTCCAATTTTACGCTGAAAGATAATTTTCTGACACTGTTGAACCGTTAACTCACGCAGTCTCTCACAGAGGAGTGACCACAGACTGTCGTGTTACTAACCGGTTAAAGATTAACCTCATTTTTTATGTTGTTTTGTTTTTCATATTGCGTGTTGTTGGCGTCAAATTGAAAATGAGCGTACATTTTTTAAAACCAAAGCGTTAGTTTTTGATTTCCGTCAAACATGGACTCTAACTGATGGGATCAGGCTTGTGTTTCTTGTTTACTGTAGTGAAACATCTTTGTTTTCAGTGCGATCACGCAGCAGCCATTTGTGGTTAATGACTCACAGACTTTCATTTCGTTTACTCGGAGGGACCTTCAGGGATTTTTAATGTTTAAGCTCCTGCTTATGAGGAAAACAGCGTTTGACTTTGATGTGCTCTTGCCCTCAGACGTTTTAACAGAGTGAGACTTGCTGGATGAGGCTGTTCCAGGTGAAGTCCAGGTGAATCTGATATCACCCCGGGGCAAAGATTCATGCAGATCCCCCCTCCTCCTCCTCCTTGAAGATAGTGTTTAAAGCTGCAGTGCACTTTGGCTCACAGGTCCAAGTCTTCCTCGCTCTAGCTGTGAAATATCTGTCCAAACCGGAGCGTCCTCAGCAGCAGCAGCACGGCCTGATCTGATCGATGCTCATAAAACCCTTCACTGGCTGATTGATTGATTTACTTTAACACCGGCTTGTTAATCAAGCTAAGTGAAAGGCAATAACAGAGAGGTGAAGCTGCCCTCCTGCCTCTCCTCTTAATGGTTTACTCCACTGTAGGCTGGTATGCAGAGTTACACAAAGGTGTCGGTGTAACAGTGAAGACATAACTGGGCCGGTCAAAGTTCAGATTTGTTGTTTTTTTTCTTTTCTGGCACTTCCCTCCGTAGATAAGCATGTGTTTGATGTTTGATTGTGTAATTCTGCTGCTCAGAGACCGATAAGACGAAGAGGACACTCCCAAACTCAAAGAGAAACACATTTATGAAGCTGGAAGGAGAAGCATAACACTCACGCTGACGTCTCCATTCAAGTGCATCATAAATTATCATCCTTGGGCATTTACTTTGCATTAAAATCTTGAACATGGTCCAGTGTTTGTGCAGAGGGGGGTGGTTCTGTGTTGGAGACAGTGCAGCCAGCTGTTTAACTAATGAATCTATGTTTAGCACAATAAATCAGAAGGCATGCTCGTGCCGCTGTAATCCCCTGAAAGCAAGCAGAGACAGGGACGCGCCAAAAGCAGGATCTGGTCCACATTTCTCCCCGCTCCCTGTACAACTGATCCGCTCGGTTAATTTTAGACCTGTCAGGCAAAACAAGGTCACAGCAAATGTTGTATCGAGGACACGCTCGGATCTGCTGCCTCTTTTTCTTTTCATCAATCAAAGTTTCCCCCTCAGAGCCGGGCCCGCGCTCCTGTGAGACGAATAATGACGGTTTCTGCTTCTGGAGCTCCAACCGGCAATTAGGAGGAGCACGGCTGAATCTGCAGGATGTGTAAAATTCCCCCTCTGATTCCTGGCTGGGATCTCACAGGGGGTTTACATGAGAGTGGTCTGCCCTGTTTACCATGAACGCCTGCAAAGTTTATATGATTACAATGCTGGGAGCCAAAGCTGAGCTCTCTCAGGCTGCTATGAGACCCAATTATGCTGCAAATGAAACATTTTGGGTTTTCTCTGCAGGAGTTTTCATCTTTTTTTTATTTAGCTGTTTTCTTCCAGTGGTTGCACAAACAGATTGCATATTTCCACCATGTTTTTGAACGTTCACTGACACTTCTTCTTCTCCCAACCGCTCACTGTGTGCTTCATGTTCGCGTC